TCAAAAACATTCAAACTCATGGAGACTGAATAGCAAGCTACTAAACAATGAATGGGTCAATAATGAGGTCAAAGCAGAAGTCAAAATGTTTCTGGGAAACAAATGAAAATAAACACACAACAGTCCAAAACCTATGGGACACAGCGAAGGCAGTCCTGAGAGGGAAGTTCATAGCAATACAAGCCTACCTAAAAAGACGAAACATTTTAAATAAATGGCCTAACCCTACAGCTTCAAGAACTGGAGAAACAACAACCAACAAAGCTGAGAGCGAGTAGACAGAAGGAAAAAATAAAGATCAGAGCAGAATTGAATGACTCGGAGACTAAAAGAACAATTCAAAGGATCAACCAAACCAGGAGCTGGTTCTTTGAAAAGACAAACAAAATTGACAAGCCTTTAAGCAAACTCATCAGGAAAAAAAGGGAGAGGACCCAAATAAATAATATCAAAAATGAAAGAGGAAAATTACAACTGATATCACAGAAATACAAAGAATTGTAAGAAATTACTATGAATAATTATATGCCAAGAAATTTGAAAACCTGGGTGAAATGGACAAATGTCTACAAAAATATAACCTTCCAGCACTGAATGAAGAAGAAGGAGAAAGCATGAACAGACCAATAACAGCTGGGGAAATTGAAGCAGTAATCAAAAAACTCCCAGGACACAAAAACCCTGGACTGGATGGTTTCACAGGAGAATTTTACAAAACATTTAGGGAAGAGCTAACCCCTGTCCTTCTCAGACTAATAAAAAAATAATCCAAGAAGAGGGAGGACTCCCACACTCTTTTTATGAGGCCAGCATCATCCTAATCCCAAAACCAGATAAAGACACAGCAAATAAAGACAACTACAGGCCAATATCGCTGATTGCTCCAACATAGACGCTAAAATACTCAACAAAATATTGGCAAACTGCATCCAGCAATACATTAAAAAGATCACCCACATGATCAAGTGGGATTCATCCCAGGGATGCAGGGATGGTTCAATATACACAAATCAATTTATGTGACGTAATACATCACATAAATAAAAGGAAAGACAAAAACCACATGATCATCTCAATAGACACAGAAAAAGCATTTGATAAGGTACAGCACCCATTTAGGATAGAAACACTCAGCAAATTGGGAGTAAAGGGGGCATACCTCAACATAATAAAGGCCATATATGAAAAATCTACAGCCAACATCATACTCAATGGGCAAAAATTAAAAGCTTTCCCACTAAGATCGGGAACAAGACAGGGTTGTCCGCTTTCACTACTTCTATTCAACATAGTATTAGAAGTCCTAGCCACAGCAATCAGACAAGAAAAAGAAATAAAAGGCATCCAATTTGGAAAGGAGAAAGTAAATTTGTCATTGTTTGCAGATGACATGATAGTGTACATAGACAACTCTATAGATTCCACAAAAAAACTACTCAACCTAATAAGGGAATTTGGCAAAACAGCAGGATACAAAGTCAATATTCAGAAATCGAAGGCATTTTTGTGCAGCAACAATGAACAATCATAAAGAGAAACTAGGAAAATCAAGATTTACTACAGCAACAAGAAAAATAAAGTACCTAGGGATAAACTTAACGAAGGATGTAAAAGACCTGTACTCAGAAAACTACACAACACTGAAGAAAGAAATTAAGGAATACACAAATAAATGGAAGCATATACCGTGTTCATGAATTGGAAGAATTAACATCATCAAAATGTCCATACTACCCAAAGTAATTTATAGATTCAACACAATCCCTATTAAAATACCAATGCTGCATTTCACAGATATAGACCAAACATTTCAGACATTTATATGGAGCCATGAACGACTCTGAATAGCTGCAGCAATTTTGAAAAAGAAGAATAAAGTAGAAGGGTTCATAGTACCTGACATTAAACTATATTACAAGGCCACTGTAATCAAAACAGTCTGGTACTGGCATAAGAACAGACACATAGATCAATGGAACAAAATAGAGAGCCCAGAAATAAATCCATGTCTCTATGGTCAATCAATATTTCACAAAGGGGGAAGAAGCATTTACATGCAAAAAAATGAAATTTGACCACCAACTTACACCATACACAAAAATAAACTCAGGATAGACTAAAGACTTAAATTTTAAGTCATAACACCATAAAAGTCCTAGAGGAGAACAAAGGCAGGAAACTCTCAGATATTCCATGCAGCAATAGTTTCACCATTATGTCTCCTAGAGCAAGGGACATAAAGGAAAGAATAAACAAACAGGACTTCATCAAAATAAGAAGCTTCTGTTCAAATTGGTAGTTACAGAACAGCCATGGAAATGTAAAGTACAGTATAGGAAAGGCAATAACCAAAGAACTTATACACATGATCACGTGGACATGAACAAGGTTGGGGGGACTGCCTGAGAGGGTGGGGGATGCCGTGTGGAGGGAGAGAAAGGGGGAAATCAGGACAATTGTAATAGTAGAATCAATAAAATATAATTTAAAAAATAAAAATAAAAAATAAGAAAAAATAAGAAGCTTCTGCACAGATGAAGAAAACATCAGCAAAATGAAAAGGGAACCAACCATATGGGAAAATATATTTGCTAATGACACCTCGGACAAGGGTTTGATCTCCAAAATATATAAAGAACTCACACGACTCCACTCTAGGAAGACAAACAATCCAATTAAAAAATGGGCAAAGGACCTGAACAGACACTTTTCCAAGGAGGACATTCACAGGGCCCAGAGACATTTGAAAGGATGCTCATCATCACTAGCCATCAGAGAAATGCAAATTAAAACCACAATGAGATACCACTTCACACCAGTCAGAATGGCCATCATAAACTAATCAACAAGTGCTGGTGAGGTTGTGGAGAAAAGGGAACCCGAGTACACTATTGGTGGGAATGCAGACTGGTGCAGCCACTGTAGAAAAGAGTTTGGAATTTCCTCAAAAAGCTAAAAATGGAACTGCCTTTTGACCCAGCAATTCCACTGCTGGGATTATACCTTAAGAATCCTGAAACACCAATTCAAAAGGACCTATGCACCCCAATGTTCATAGCAGCACAATTTACAATAGCCAAGTGCTGGAAGCAACCTAAGTGCCCATCAGTACATGAGTGGATCAAAAAACTATGGTACATTTACACAATGGAATGCTACACAGCAGAAAGAGCTACTACACTTCGCAACGGCATGGATGGAACTGGAGAACATTATGCTAAGTCAAATAAGCCAGAGGGTGAAAGACAGATACCATATGATCTCACCTATAAGCCAAACATAATCAATAAAACAAAGAAGAAAAATATAACGAGCAACATTATAAGAAAAAACAAACTGACAGTGACAAGAGGGGAGGGAGGTGGGTAACGAGGAATAGAAGGGGAAGGGTCAAGTGAAGGAACATGTATAAAGGAATCATGGACAAAGCCAAAGCAGGGAAGGATTGAGGGTGGGAGGTGGGGGTGGGTGGGGCAGGGGAAATTGGTGGCAGGAAAATGGAGACAAATGTATTTGAACAATAAAAGGAAATTTAAAATAATAAAACATAAAAAAACAGCTAAGGGGTGAATGATATCTTCTTGGGGTATTGAATATGCTTTTGCATTGATGGTGGTAAAATTCTTTTTTTTTTGGTATCTATATGGTATGATGGATGTTACCAATTTGTTGTGGTAATCAGTTCATGATGTATGTAGGTTGAGTCTTTATGCTGTACACCTTAAACTTATACAGTGCTATATGTCAATTATATCTTAATAAAACTGAAAAAAAATGGAAAAATCATCATAGCAATTCAATGAGTTAGATACCCTAGTTATCCCTGGATTACTTGACTGAGGCACAGAAAAGTTATGTGACTTACAAGCTATAAGGTCGAGCAGCCAGAATTTGAAACAATGCAGCCTGACTTTAGTTTTCACTCTATAAGTCTAATGCTCTTAACTATTTGACAATTTTACCATTAATCAATCTCTCTCTTGAACACAAGAACTCTTTTCTTTCCTGTCCCTCCACTCATCTCCCATGTTTATATTACCTGGAATTTTAGTTCAAAATTATAATTTTTTAAAATTTACAATCAAACCTTACTTAGACTTGTCAATAAATTTTACCATTTTCCCCCTCACCATTGCTTATTGGAACCCCCTCCTTCCCAATTCCATTTTTTTTCCTTCCTGCTGGATCACATACTTTAATAATCCTTTCAGAAAGGGTTTGTGTGTGATTAATTTTCTGAAATATTTTTTTTCTGTGGATTATCTCGGCTGGATATAGAAATCTAGGTTCAAAGTTATTTCTCATCTCTTTGAAGAACTTCACCATTGTATTCTCTCTTCTCTTTTCTGTGGAACCACACAGGTTCTTGTCTTTATCCTTTAGAATTTTACCTTAAACCTAGAAATTTTGTTTCTTGTGTGTGTGTGTGTGTGTGTGCATGTGCGCCTGCGTATGTTAATCATGCTCAGAACTTTGTCACTCTTTTCAATTTGAAGATTCATATCTTTCTTCATGTAATTTTTTTCAAGTGTCACAAATTATTCTTTTGATTTTTTTAAATTGGAAACGTGCAAACCATTCTTAGTTCAGGGGACAAAAATAGGCAGTGGTCTGAATTTGGCCTGTGGGCCACAGTTCGCCCACTCTTGTGCTATAACATCAATTCTAGGGATAACTGCCTAATTCACTGCTGTATCCCTGGCACCCAGAACAGTGCCTGGCACCCAGTAGGCTCTCAATAGATGTTTCTGAACTGAGCAAGTGAATGAAATAATGAGTTGGAGAGCTGGTTATTGAAGGAGTGAAGTGAGTGAACATATGCTAGCTGGCTCAGTACTAGTTTCAGGGCCTCAGTTTACCCCTGTGTGAACCTAAACAGGCTCCACCAAGAAGTCTTAGAAAGAGATCAGAAGGCTGAGGCCACAACTGCAATTCAACATCTTTATTATTTCCCTTTAACTTGAGGGTAATCCTGACAAACAGCGTCCTGCCAAGAGGAAAAAGAAAAGACTGGGCTGGGCAAGGGGTGCCCAAGGACCTGGCCTTGTTCTCCTCCTGTGATGTTGGAATTAGGACCATGATGCAAGCTCTGCATCCCTGGGGAGGACGGTGGACCACTGTGTAGCCTCTGTGGCCCCCTACCTCAATAGGTACGTTAAAGGAACCAGACATCTTCACACACCAAGCAGGGGGGACCTGGGAGAGCGGCCCTATCTTCTTTCACACACAAAGGCACAGGTGCACAGGAGCCTGGCTGGAGCAGGGCATGGTTAGTGTCCAAGAGCATGGCTCTGGCCTGTGGCCCAGTTGGCAAACATGAAGCCTAGGCTGATCGCCATGAAGAGGACGCCCAAGACACCAAAACACAGAGCCTATGAACGAGAGGGAGAGAAAAAAGGGACTGGTTGGGTCTCTACACTGGAGCTCCTCCTGAGAATGTTCAAGCCCTTCCAGAGTCCCCATTCATTTCTGACCCTCCTTTGTGCTCCCTCTTCTTCCTTAAAATCATCCCATTCCCGTGAATCTTCCTCCCGTCTTCCTAGAACCCTTCAAGTACCCTTCTCCATCTTCCTTCTAAGTTCTCCTGGCTCTTTTCTAATAGTGCACATTCTATCCATCTGGAGAACGCTCCCTGTATGCCAGCCCCTTATTGAGTGTCCCCTCTGCCTTCCCAGACCCTGTTGGTGCTCTGTTGGCACAGCTCTTTCCTAAGACAACCTCCTTCATTCTTCCAGACTATCCACCTCTCTCCCTGGATGCACCCTCTTCCCCCAGGCCCCTCTTGAAAATGTCCCTTCTATCTCCAGCCATGTTGGAATGCTCCTCCCCAGAACACTCCCTCTTTCCCCGGCCCTCCCCTGAAAAGCTCACCTGTATCTTGAGCCAAGAGAAGAGGGGCTCTACCTCAGAGGGCACAATACGGAGGTAGAAGACACTGGGAAGGATGAAGATGAGGCTGGGGGCTGAGGTGGACCCTAGAGGACAAGCAAGAGGAACAGGAGTCAATTTAAGTTTGGAGGACTAGGCCCTTATTAGATGGAGTCTGGGGTTAGGGTACTGACCGATAACCCCAAAGATATCCCGGATGGTTGGCACATAGATGACAAAGACATTGACCATGACAAGCAGGATCAGGGCTATGGCCACATGCCGCGGCCAGCTGAAGGCTTTGCTTGGGAAGAGCAGCTGCTGCAGGGCCCGGCGGATCTGTAGCCAGAGCAGGGTGGAACACAAGTCAGGGCCCAAATGCTGCCTCCCCCTCCTGTGGTCTTCTGTCTTTAACTCTACCCTCTGTCTGAGTATCCACCTTTGTCTCCACCCAGGTCTGAGATCCCTGATTTCCCTTCTACTTGATTATGTCTCCACCGTATCTGACCATCCATTTGTGCCTTCAACTTCTGAACAAGCATCCACCTCCCTTCTGACGATCCACGCCTTTTCCTTCTGTCTGATCACCCATCTAGGCCTCTACCCACTGTCTCAAATCTTTGCCTCCTCCTCTATCTTACTATCTCTGCTTTGCCCTATCTATCCACTTCTTCCATCTGTGATCACTGCTTCTTTCCATCTGACTAACTCTATCTCCCTCCTCTCTCTAGTCATCCCATCTCCCCATCTGAAGGCCTTGTCTCTCCTATACCTCACTACTTCTGCCTTCGCCCTTTTTTGGTCCATCCCCGTTTCTTCATTCTGACTGTCCATCTACCTACGCCTCTACCCTCTGTCTGACCATTTGACCATTCCTGCCTCCCTCTTCTGTCTAGCCAGACATCTGTGCCTCCTTCCTCCTACTACTACTCCTGTCCTGACTCTCTCTGTCCTTCCATCTGTCTGACCATCTTTTTTTGCCTTCTCTATCCATCTGAAAATGCTGCATTCCCTGTTTGTCCATCCCTGCCTCCCCCATCCATCCATTCATCCACTCCTATTTCCAACATCCATTCAAACATCTATGCCTCTGCCCTTCACCCATCCATCCAATGCCCCTCTGCTCCATGGCCCGCCTTGTCCCCACGCACAGGGAATAGCACAACTGGTACAGTGAGAGTCACCGCGAGCAGCACTGCCAGGCGTACACAGAGGATGAGCGGGTCCTTCTGGCTGTACATGTGCAGCATCTCTGCCTCCACGCTACCTGGGACATGGGACACAGGATGCTGAATGAGGCAGGAGAACCAGGACCAGTGTCCCAGACACACACACACACACACAATAACAAAATCTACATGCATGCCCTGGCCAAGTAGATCAGTTGGTCAGAGCATTGTCCCAATATGCGAAGGCTGTGGGTTCAATCCCCGCTCAAGGCACGTGCAAGAATGAACAAATGAATGCCTAAATAAGTGGAACAACAAACAAATCAATATCTCCCTCTCTGTTCCTCCCTCTCTCTAAAAATCAATAAAGTAAAACAATTTTTAATCTATATGTGTGATGCATACTGTCCCTTTGGAAAGTGATGGGTCTGAAGACATGGAAGGGAAAGGGCTCAGGCTCCTGCCCAAGCAGTCTGCCCAGTCCCCACCCCAGTTCCCACCCAACCCTGACTCCAGCCCCACTCACTGTAAAAGGTGAGGTATCCAAAGGTGGCCGTAAGCGCATACATGCAGAACATGGCACCGATGGACACGTTGGCCACAGCCTGCATTCTGCGCTTGGAGGGCCTAAGGTACAGAGGTCATGGAATTGTAATGCCCATACCCATGGGCTTGGTCCACACCCCTCAAAACTAGCCTCCACCCTCCAGAGTCCCCTTCTTCCTGAGCTGATATTCAACTGCTACACAATGGGATTCCCATCTCTGCCTCTCCTCTGTTAATACCCAAGCCTCCCCTCTCTGTCCATCCCTATCCCACCCCACATGACCACCTCTGCCTCTCCTTTCCATTTGACTGTCACAGCTCCTCCTTTCCATCTGACCATCTACACCTAACTATCCATACATCCCCCCACCCTATCATCCCTGACTCCCATCTGTCCAGTCATACAACCTCCATTTGCCCATCCTCATCTCCCCATTCCCATGCATGCGTGCCACCCCCTCCATCTGATCATCTCTGCTATCCTACTCTGTCCATTCACATTTGTACTAGATGTTAAAAGAGTAGATATCTAAGCTCCAATCAGTAATCAGTCACTTCCCTGTGTCTCCCAAGGCCTCCCAGCCAGCTCAAACCCCTCCCTTGGTACAATCTATAATCAATAATCAAGTCATAGTCCCAGGACTGCTGTAGGGATTGTCAGACATTATGAGTATCACTCCGCCCTTTGGCTCATCACGCATGCCCACTTGTCTGCACACTCACCGGCAGAGCTCTGTATAGATCGGTAGCACCTCAGGATGACAGACAAACGCAAAAGCCATAATGGGCACTGTGTAGAACATCTGGGGGAATGGTCCAAGTACATGAGATTAAAGTCTATAGGGTTCTATCCCCTCCTCTCTACTCCCCTTGGCCCCACCTCTGCTCTCCGTATCAGAAACTTGGAAGCCCCCAATGTCCAATACATGTCTCCAACTCAGAGAAGAGCACACTGTGTGACAGGACCAGAGGGTCTGAGTGTGGTACAAGCCCTATTGGCCTGTACACCCACCTGTGAGTCCACTGTGAACCACTGGGCCTCACAGCTTCCATTAAGCCCCTGGATGGGAGGGCCCAGGGTGCTGTTACTCCCCACAGCTGTCTCATTGCGACCCACAACGCAGCCAAGCTGGAACTTCTTATAGATGACCTGAGGGAGAAAGGGTGGGAAAGTGAGGTTACAGGGAAGACTGTGTCCCAACATCCCAAACTCACTCTCCACTTTTTCAAGTTCTTTTCTCTCAGACTCACCGAAATGAGGAAAAACAGCATACAGGTCAGGGAAAGACCACTGGTATACCCTAGGTAGCCTGCAAGGGGCAAGAACACAGAGATTCAGAAATCCAGGGGACCTCCCTACAGCAAATATTAAATCCCCAGTCTGGCCTTCAAGGTTCCCTCACACCAGTTATGCCACACCTTTGCATAAGTTTTTATTTCTACCTGGACCAGCTTCCCCTCCAGAGCAAACTCCTATTCATCTGTTAAAACCCACGTCAAACAAGCTCTCCCCTGCTGTTCCACAGCCCTTGAAAATGGGTATTCTCTCAATTTGGTTCCCCTTCTCTAACCCCACTATCCAATGACCAATGCAGGAAGCTTCTTACCCAAGTGTCTCATGAGGGCCAGTGGCAGGATGATTAACACACTGACAATGATGACCAGGAAGTTCCCCGTCAAGTACCAGTATCTGGGGAGATAGGCAAACATAGTGACTAACTGCCTGCTGAAGAAAACTGTCAGGCAGACACTCACAGAAGACAAACAGATTTCTGCCCAATATCAGGAGAGATGAGCCAACACCTCAGCTGTGAGAAGTCATTCAGGTGGTTACAGTGATGGCACAACAAGAGTTACAGAAGTAGCCAGACTGATCATCAGACTATCAGTCAGACACCGTCTGATAGTTCTCAACTGTCAGACACAGTTGAGAACACATGCACAGCTAGACAAAACTGTGCTGTCAAACTCACAAATGGATATACAACCTGATGGGAAAACAACACCCCAAGTCAGTCGGACTCAAACAATCCAAGACAAGGTGCCAGACACAGAGTGAGCCATGACCCTGGTGTCTGACAGGTAGAACAACAGCCTGATGATCTGGCAGGCAGGCAATGATGCAGAGTCAGACAAAAAGGCAGAAACGCACATGTGTGGTTGTTTGAACAGCTCAAGGTTTGTTGAACACCTGAAAGGAGCTGGGCCAATTTGGCCACATGGCCAAAGACAGAAATAGAGACCGTATGAATCAGCCAGCTGGCCACAATATTGAAACCAAGCTCAAAGAAAGAGTGGGATCTGTACAGATATTGAAGGGAGGAGCCCAGATAAGAGAGTTAATATAGAATCAGCTTAATGACAGACTGCTTGTTTGTTCAGAAGAATTTTATTCAGTGCCTACTATGTTCCAGGCATTCGCACACTCTCTTTGTCTCATACACACAGTTACACAGGAATAAATCAACAAAGCATCATTAGCCATACATACAGTGGGAGCTAATTATAATAATTAGACACTCCTAGGCACATAGACTGCCAGCTACCTAAATGGTTTCAGAATCAAACCACAAATCTAACAAGACACATGGAGCCAACCATCATATACAAACGACTAAACAAATTCAGCACATGGATCCAGAATCAAAAATCAGTCATCTGGATGCATACTCAGAACAATCAAACATACATGGTAGGATCACAGGACATGTACAGAGGACATGTATAGTCATAGCTGAAGACCACACACATAGCCAGATAGAATTTGCCAGAACAATGTTCACTACATTAAACAAAGATGGAGTCTACTGGCACATACAGTTGGAACATATCACATATGCATAGTTGGCACCACAGTACACAGCACATAGCACACACACACCATTGGAGTCAATGACCGCACACTTATAGTGAGACAGATTCAGCCAGCCTGATGGATCCAGGATCAAACCGAATCTGCCGAACAGGAAAAGTAAACAAATGTCAAACACACATGGTTCAAACCACAGTGTAGAGGCACAACTGTAGTTGGCTCTTATACAGCTGGACAGAGAACCTGCCAGTGCAACATTCACAAAGGCAAACCCAGAGACAGAGTTGAGCTACTGGAGAATAGTTGCATGCTGAGCATTAGCGTACACTAGACATATCAGCCACCAGATAGAATCAGCCAGAATAACAGTCACAGAAATCAACATACATGGTCTATTGGACTCCTATAGTCAGAGCAGCAGTCACACAGGAATCACAGTCTGACCAAAGGGGCCTGCCCAGCAGTCTCAGAATAGAATATTTGGGACACAGAGTTGAAGAGAGCAGCCAGACCTGACAGGCAGAGTCAATGGCCTGTGAACCAGAGCCAAGGGGTGTTGCTCACTCACCCCTCAGGGTCCATGGACAGTAATGTGCCAATAACCAGGGGGAGTTCAGATTTGATGATGAACAGGTAACTGGACATGGCTGGTGCGGGTGGAGGGAGGTGTAAGCAGAAGGATTCCCCTTGTCCCCCTGCCCCGTTTTCCCCAGCCCAACCAGGGGAAGCCCACCTCACCCCACCCCTTCCCCCAAGGTGACCCCCACCTCCCAGAATCCTCACCCCCAACATTGTGCAGACAGATGACTGTGGCCACCACTACCTTCCCCACAGGCCCCAGAGCCTTCTGTCCCAGCTGCTCATAGGATCGGATACCTGTAGGGAGGCAGAGGACAGGAAGGAACAGGTTGTGGGTCCAGGAAGCTAGACCAAAATTGAAGTCAGAGGGTCTGGGGGCTGGGGAATCGGGACTTGAAGCAATTAGGTCTGATTGATGGGGGCTGGGGGCGAGGGTTAAGCAGTTAGGATCATGTTTGGGGATAGAATCTGGGAGTTGGGATCTATGGCCAGGAACTGTGGCCAGGGAGAAGGCTGGAGGTGGGTAGTGGGGGTCTTGGGAGCAAATCACACAGACATAGTCTGACACTATGGTGGGAGTGAAGTCTGAGATTGAGAACTTGGAAGCTAGGCTCTGAGGACTGGAGGTCTTGGGGTTGTACAGCTGGCTTCCATGGTTGGGGGGTGGCTAAAAACTGAGTGGTGGGGGTTAGAGGTGGAATGTAGCGGTCTGGAGGTCGGGAGGGTCTGAACAACAGGGTTTATGGCCAGACCAATGGGTGAGGGTTGGGGGTTGGGAACTGGGGATCTGGGAGCCCAGACGAGGTCTGAGGGCCAAGTCGCAGTCTACAGTTTAGAGCCCAGGGAGTTAAATGTGGGGCCTGGGAGCCTGGGTTCCATATCTGGGTGGTATGTCCAGAGTCTCGGGTTTAGGTTGAAATCTGGGGTCATAGATCAGGGGAGTAGGTCAGGGGTCTGGGTTGAGCTCTGGGGCTCACCTACAACACCAGCACAGGTCAGCAGGAGATGGATGGAATATGAAGACAGAAGAGCAATGCACAGCAGCAGGGCCCTGAGGCAGATGGCACAACTCGAACTTGGCTCCCCAGGCCTCCCACCTGCCCCAAAACACCCCCCCTCCCAGGCCACCTCAGACTCACAAGAAGAAGAGGACCCCTGTGTGGGCCATGGCATATGCCAGCCCCAGGATGCCACTGCCCATGATGGCGTTGCTGAGGTTGAACACTGACATTCCAAACGATGTCTTCCCCTGGTACTGTGGGTAAGAACAAGGCCCAGGCACTCATGGGGTGAGGAGCCAGGTAAGGAGACCAATGCTGGGGCCTGGGAAAGACTAAGGAAGAAATGACTGGGGCAGAAAGAAGCCTAGGAAGGGCCAGAGGAGAAACCAAGAAGTTAGGAAAGAAAAGGAGTTGAAGACAGGAGAAGCTGGGAAAGGGAGAGCCAGGAAGAAAAAAACTAGGAGAAATTTTGGAGGGGAGCATCTGTAAATGGGGAGGAACAGGAGAGGAACAGGAGAGGGTAGAGCAAAAAGAAAAAAAACTGGGGAGGGGAATAGCTGGAGGTGAGGAGCAGGGCAGGGGGGAAGTAACAGCTGGGGAGGAGGAGTAGCCAGGAAGAGGGAAGGGGAGGGGAGGAGATGAGCTAGACAAGGTATAGTTGGGACAGATCCTGTGGGCTCACTCACATCCATGAACTGGGCTGGCTTCCTCCCAGGAGCAGGATTATGGCTGGGCAAAAAGCCCTGGCGTTCCTGCCTGTAGCTGGAGAAGGCAGAGAAATTGCGGCTTATGAGAGGGTAATCCTGACCCCCTTACCTCAACCCCTTGGACCCTGACTCACCCCACAGCACCCATAGGTAGGGCTCCATTCATCTTTGGATCTTGCAGTTCCATTCTGTGGACAGAGAAATGGGGCAAGGGTCAAAGATGGAGCAGGGGGCCTACAAAGTGGAAGAGCTGGATGAAGGGGTAGGGGTTCAGATAGACAGGTAGAGAAATACAACAGATGAGGTGAGGGGAACAGGAACAGAGGGAGGACAAAGAGATAAAGAGAGAGGAGCGTATATATCGAAGGTGAGAGGCTGAGACAGGAAGAGAGAAAAGGCCATCAGAGGGGGAAAGACGCCAACAATTACTCAGAGAGACATGGAGAGATAAAGGGGGAGAGACAGAAATAGAGAGACCAACCTCACAGCAGACAAGATGGCCATTTAGAGCTGCGATAGCCTCTCCTCCCAGACCCCAGACTCATTCTGTCTTTTTGCTCTGTCTCTTTCCTTCCCAGGTCTCCCAGGTCTCCCAGGTCAGCGCACTGCCCTGCCCACACACCCCCCCAACCATTCCCTCCACCCTCACCCCGTGGCCAGGCCTCGCTCCTTGCAGGGACACGTGTCGTGTTGGCAGACTGCCCCACCTCTCATAATGCCCCCTACCCCCCCTCCTTCCCTCCTGGGCCCCAAGCCAAGCCCAGAGCTGATGCAACCTGTCCACCAATCAACTGGGCTGGGGGTGGGGACGCGCTTGGAGACCCCAGCCCCGACGCTGCAAACTCTATCTGCCATAGCCCTGAATATCATCGCTAGAGACCAAATATGATATCCTAACTGAGACACCTTCCAGAGACAGAAGTGACCCAGGACCCCTTAATCCTCCTTTTAGGGACTAAGGGTATTTTCTAGGTCCCCTGTCAAGTCTTAAACTCCTTCTGGCAGAAGTAACTGCGGAGATACTCCCAGACTTGAGATCCTTCCTTGGGGTGTCTCAGGAATCTGGCCTGAGCCCTAATTTCCCCTGCTGAGGATAAGCTGTCTCTGAGACCCTTCATCAGAAGCCCCCTCCCGGACCTGATGCGTTTCCGGGGTGGGGGTGGGGGGTGTCTGATCCCCAGGCCAGCCTACAGTCTCTGTCTTCTGGGTGAAATGTCTCTGAAGAAACCCCCTTCCCTGAACTCACTTCCTGCAAATATGGTAGCCCAGATACCCCCATCATTGCTAAAACTTTCTCTAGGAAATCCCCGACCCAAGCCCTGAATTCCCTTCCTGGGACGGGGAGGACTCTCATGGAGCCCCATCCTCAGCCGTGAGTACCCTCTGGGGACTCCTACCCACTCCTAAATTCGCCTCCTGGGTGCAAGGTACTAAAGGACTCTCCCTCCCATTCAATTCTCCACCAGTGCTAAAAAGGTCTCCAGAAACCCCTGAGGGACCCCCACTCGTGCCTTGGGGTCTCTAGAACCCTCCACCACCACGGCTAGCACCCCCTCCTCACCTGCGTGCTCCCCTTAGCTCCGGAAGCGGCAGGACTCAGACTAAGGCTAGGGGACCCCAGAGCCGAACAGCTCCCGCTCACTGAACCCTGGCCCCGCCCCGCCCAGCGGCCAATTAGCGACTGAGGCGCTTGCTGACTTGCTTCCGAGCTAATCACCACAGCATGGGCCCCATCTGCCCCGGGGTTTTTTTTTTTTTCTTCAGTTTCCCTCTTTCTGCTTCTGGTGTTGGGTGGGGCCTGTTCACGCCCTAACCGAGGAGCTCCGCTGTTCGTCGGTCTAGCTGTCTAGTATTGGAGGCGGGGGGGGGGGGGGGCGGGGGGGGCGGGGGGGGTTGTCCACTTCCATCCAGGTGTGTGACAAGCCTGTCTTTTCGAGGCAAGGTATGTGTCTCCTGCAGGGAATCAGGTGAGATGGACTTGGGGTCCTGGCCCAAATCTACTGGGCTGCTTGAGGCCCAAGTGGACAAGAGGCCTCTGTCTGAGCCCCTCCACCCGCACCTGACAAGGAGCACAGAATTCCTGAAAAGGCCAAGGGCTGGCTAGGATTCAAAGTTAACTTAGATGCGCCCACCCCACCTGCAGTTGGAGGAGGGCAGGGGACAGGGCAGTTTACTTCAACACAGCAGGAGAGAGACTTCCCCACACTCAGGGATGACAGCTCCATCCAGGGTCTCAGAGGTGGAGGCAGAGTCCCCATGACCCAGAGATACAGACTTTTTTGAAATTTTAAAAATTCATTTGAGAGAGAGAAATATCGGGGGGTTTTTTGTTACACCCATCAATGCGTTCATGGTTGCTTCTTGTGTGTGCCCTAACCTGGGATTGAACCCACAACCCTGGAGTATCGAGACAACACTCCAACCAACTGAGCTACGCTGCCAGGGCCAGAGACACAAAATTCCATGCACACTCACAGCCACATACGCAGAATACATGCTGACAAATATAAATACACACAGACTGCACACGGAGAGCCCAGGCCCACGGTAGTCACATACGGCCACACAGAGTGACTTAGTCTTACAGATATCATCACCCACAGCCTTAGACCACACTCAGAGAGCACAGAGTGGCACAAGGATAGACTCACATGGAGCCACTTTAGATTCATGGACATCATCACCCACAGGCTCACTGCGACACTCAGGAGAGCCAAAAGGCAAATCACACACAGACTCACAGACTCACACAAAGTGCACAAACAAATCTGACTTCACACAGCCAACAACACCATGCACAGGTTCAGTGTCTGCCACACAAACTTCAGGGTTCAGAGGGACCTGGAGACCCCAGTCCAGATTCAGGCTCGATAATGATCTCTGTGGATATGAACTCATGTGTGAACTTGTGACCACGTCCACAAGAGAGAAGTACTCACAGCAGACACGATTGTAAAGACAGAGAAGCTGCAGCCACAGACAGGCACACAACTGCTTTCAAGCAGATGTCTGCACATAGCCATGCATACACAACTATTCACAAATCAAGTCAGAGAAGAAACATGTTGGGAACGCATAAACAGGTGCACAACCAGGAAAACCAGAATACAGAAAGTACTCTTCCTGTTGTTACAGAGAGGAAATCCAGAAAACACACCTAAAGCTGCATGAAGAAGAAACAAGGGAAATAGATAATATACATACAACGAGACCTAAAGAAACACGCAGAGGGCACGCATACCTATAGTCACTCACCTAGGACAGAAGCACAGTGACAAAGAAAGACACATGCATAGAAGACACACTCAGAAGATACAAATAAACACACTAATCACCCACAAGCATTACAAAGCAGACACATAAACATTCAAGGAACACACACACACAGAGCCCCATGGAGAAGAATTGCCAAGCAGACAGTACCAACACACACAGATACCAAAAAAGGAAACACGAATTGGACAGGCAGCCATAGACACAAGATACAACTGGGTAAGTTACATAGGAAGATACATGTGGAGCTCACATATGTTTGTTTGTGACCAAGAACATGTACAGGCAGATGAGATGCATTTGGGTTATACACACACACACACACACACACACACACACACACACACACCCCTGTTTATGCCGCCTACTCTGATATCTCTCTCCTCTGACACTCCTCCTCCCCCCGAGCCATTTTACATCTGTGCCACAGACAGGCCAGGGAAAGAGACACCTGTCAGCAGAGGCCTTGGCCCAGATGGCTAAGGGGGCGGGGAGCTAGGCAGCTATCTAGATTTCAAGAAAAGTCTGAAGCGTCCTGTCCAAAGAACTAGTGTACTTGGACAAAGAAACACATAACCCCATCAACCACCTCCAGGTAGCGGCTTTCTGCTTTGATTACTCCCCTCTCTTCCCCTCCCCTCCTCTCCCAGGGCCCTCTCTGCCCTCCAACATTGCCCAGCACAGGGCCGCCAGGCACACAGCATGTGCTCCATAAATGCCACGTATCGAGTGTCATATTGTTATCATTATTTTGTTTATTTCTGCTAAGTGAACTCGTCTAGGGAAGGCACTAACCTTCATCCAGCTCTGCACCCCATAGCTCAGCTAAAGTGCAAGGCACTGAAAATAGCAGGTGCTCAACATATGCTGGTAGGAGGAAAAACAAAAGGAAAATCAAATCTGGCTGTGGATGGAAACGTGCTTTGGAAGTAACAGATATCTTTAAGCTTAACCTAGATACTGAGGCTGTCAGGGATAATAATACTTTATTCATCCCAGTAGGGTCCTTTCTCAGAGTCATTTAAGGCTTTTGATGGTTCAAGAAAGCAGACCCTTGGGTGACATTTGGAATTCCTATTGAGTCTCTTAAAAGTCAGTTTGGGTTCTTGTCAGTTCTTCCAAGCAGACCCCTGCTTTTCATTAAAACTCAGCAGCCCTGGCTGGTGTGCCTCAGTGGACTGAGTGCCGGCCTTTGAACCAAAGGGTCGCCAGTTGTTTTCCCATTCAGGGCGCATGCCTGGTTGTGGGCCAGGTCCCCAGCAGTGGGCACGTGAGAGGCAACCACACTTTGATGTTTCTCTCCCTCCCTTCCCCTCTCTCTAAAAATAAATAAATAAAATCTTAAAAACAAAACAAAACAAAACAAAACAAAACAAAAAAACCTCAGCAGCCTTCAGGGGAAGGAGCCACAGAGCAAAGCAGTTAACAGCGAGAGCTTTCCCAGTTCTGCCCCTTTCTAGCTGCGTGGCCCGGAGCAAGTTCTGAAACCTGAAGTTTCAGCTTCCCCTAGGGCATGACAACGCCTAGGGCCATTGGTAAGATTGAATGAAGAGAGGTAAATCACTTAGAACAATTCCTGACACACAGTAATTGCTCAATAACATATTGGGTTGGCCAAAAAGTCCGTTTGGTTTTTTCTGTAAAATAAAAGACGTGTTTTTCATTTTTACCAATAACTTTATTGATTTGGATATTTGGAATCTGGAGCATCATCAAGTGAGAAATCTCCAGCACAAAACTTTACAAGCCATTTTTGACACATTTCAGTCAGTCACAGCACCTTCTCCATACTCTGCAGAAATATTTTCTTGCATTTCAGATGCGTTTTTACCTTTCTTGAAATAATAAAACATAATATGCCAAAAATGTTGCATATTTTCTTCCATCTCCAACATTAAAATTGCTACACAAAAATTCAACAATTGTGATAAGTTTTTTTTAAATGCATGCTGATATGACAGCTGTCACAATACAATTTAGCAAAATCGTTTCAAATGAAGTTAATGACAACTAAGTGCTACTAGAGCCATCTTACAGAAAAAAGCAAATGAACTTTTTGGCCAACCCAGTATTTGTGAAAGACATTAATGAATTCTCCTCTGCTGTGAAAGCAACCCCTCACTGGCTACATTGAGGATTCTAACCTCCCCTTTCATGCAGTGCCCCCAGTGAGTAACTTCAGTCCCTCAAAGCAGGACCTGACTCAAAGCAAGGCTAATCCCCTGCGCCTGGACCACCCATGTCTTTCCCTCAAGAGGTAAGATGCTCTCTGGTACAGAGCTGGCCTGACAGCTTCCCTCTCCTTGACATCTTCAGGAGGCCAAGGAGAGGACACTTTTACACTTAGTGGGGTGTCGGGTGGGAGCTGCAGGCTGACACCCTACTTCAGGAAGAGCATGGGGAGTTCAGAGTCTGGTTCCTGTCTTATAACCCCCTGGCCCTGCTGGAAATTTCTTTGCAAAAAATTAAATTTCCTTTTTGTGAGAGGCAAGAAAACAGGACATAGGAAGCATCCCACAGGGCGAACATGGGTCCCCCATGCCCGGCACCCCCTCTTCTCAGAGGAGCAGTGGCTGGTGGCTGGAACCCTTGCTTCCTCACACTTGCTCACTTTGCAGGCAGTCATGTTCCCACCACCCCCATAAGGCCCTTGAGCTCAGCTCCCCTGACAACTCTTACTTCCTCCTCCCTGGCTCTCAGGAAGACCAGGAGGTATCTCTCTATGTCTGTGTCTTCCTGTCATCTGTCTACACCTCCCAGGGCCCCACATAAAAGCAGAACACACCACTGAAAAAAAGAATGAAAGAAAGGGGCAACAAAAGGGTGGATTTGTTAATGGGCAGGGGGCCTGGCCCTGAGCAGGTCTGCCTAGCGCCAGCGTGTGGTAGATAGCGTGTGGGTTCTTGACTTTGTATAGGAAAGATTTCACAGCATGAGTCCAGGTGACTATGAGGGTATGTTTATTAAAGCTGGGGGACAGTAAAACAAGGGCTTAGCGTAGAAGAAGCAAACAAGAGTGGCTACACTGGGCTGCCTTAGCTCACTGGGAAGCCAGAGAAAAGCGGGCATTGGGGACAGGTTCAAGGGGTTAGCCTGAGAATAGCTGTTGCTGCTCATGGCTCCCCTGGTTGCAAGTCTTGTGGGGTTCCTTAGAGTTTAGTAGATGCGTCCCTGTGGGGGAAGAAGTGGGGGAAGGAGAGCGGGGAGGGAATGGCACAGGCTGCTGGGGAGAGGGCTGGATCCTTGTCCTGAAACTTTAATCTCTCTCTTGCAGGTGGGAATCTTGCGGGGTGAGGTCTCAGGGTAGGGTCTCGGCAGAATATTCATCAGTTTTCCAGGTGTGATCTTTGTTGTGGTCTCTACTGATTGGTCAGTGCCAGGGCAGTTAGTGATTGCAGCTGGTCCTGGCAGTACCCACCTGGTTTTGCCGCTTTTCTGGGCCTGGGGCTGAAATACAATTGAGGCCTCTCCCAGTTCTGCCCCTTTCTAGCTGTGTGGCCAGGAGCCAATATTATATTACCCTGGCCGGTGTAGCTCAGTAGATTGGGCATCGTCGTGCAAACCAAAAGGTCGTGGGTTTGATTCCCCATCAGGACACATGCCTGGGTTGTGGGTTTGTTCCCCAGCTGGGGTGTGTACGAGAGGCAACCAATCAAAGTTTTGGACCTGGCCTGCAACCCAGGCATGTGCCCTACACTGGGAATCGAATCAGTGACCCTTTGAATCGCAGGCCGGTGCTCAATCCACTGGGCCATACAAGCCAGGTATATTAATCTTACTTAAATGTATGCGTAGCTCACACTTATTTCAATGTTTAATATTAGAAGTGTTTTGGGTCTTCACTTAGAAATTTACTAATGTTTTTGTGACCAGAAATATGCTCTAGGAACTTAATTCTTGTTTATATCAGTTAGCCTATGGTAAAAACTTATTTCCTTCATTATATGTCATTTCACTTAAAGCTCCAGTTTCCAAAAACATATCTGTGATGTTAAGTGAGAACTTAGTGCATATCCTCCCTTGTTTGTTTCCTCATCTGTAAACTGGGGCTTAATCACAGTAACTACCTCATATGGTTGTTGTAAGGATTAAAAGAGTTCAAGGAAAGGATTCAGCAGTGCGCTGGAGCCTACTTGTACAGGCGTACAGACTGCTTGTTCAATTATTAGGAATTTTGTGAACTGGTTGTTAAACACAGCTATTATTAAAAATAAAATGATATAAACTTACAATTAAATACATTAGATTTTTAAAAGATGATAAATACTCAAAACTCATCACTTCCTTATTTTATTACATTTCACTATTTCTATGATCTTGGTCATTTACCCGTATTTTAACTGTACGGTAGAAATAAGACATAATGGTGCAGTACTGCGTCTGTTCTGAATTCTGTGTTCCATGGCTACATATTGGTAATTTGAAATCTAACAAGATGATAGTGTGTAAACCATGGGCATTAGCAAATGTTTGAATCAGAGCTTCGTCCCCCATTCCCCTCTAAGAGCTGGTTGTTAACCATTTACCAGCACACCTTTGAGAGCACTTAGAATAGTGACCTGCACATGGTAAACTCTGTGATAAATGTTTCCATTATTATATTTGCTTTTTCACTGGGTGGGCATGTAGAGGTTTTTTTGTGGGTTGGAGTTAAAAATGTTTGAAGAACATGGAACTACACAAGGCCAGTTTGCAGTCACGCCCTGGACCTTTAACTTTTTTTTAAGATTTCATTTATTTACTTTTAGAGAGAGGGGAAGGGAGAAAGAGAAGGAGAGAAGCATCAATGTGTGAGAGATATATTGATCCATCGCCTCTCACAGCCTCCAACCAGGGACCTGGCCCACAACCCAGGCATGTGCCCCAACTGGGAATCGAACCAGCAATCTTTCAGTTCCACCAGGACCAGACCTTTAACTTTTTTTAGTGAAAGGGTTTAAGCCAGGCCCACCCATTGTTCTTGTGCATCTAATTTAACACACCTTTGAAATATCAGAAGTAATACCCTTGAAAAGTGGCATTAACCCTCAAGAGAGCACGTAATCTCAACTATGCTGTACCAATCCCTGCCTTGCTTACTCCAATCTTCCATGCAGGTTTTCTCCTTAATATCAAATGCATAAAAGAAGCTGCAAAATCTTTATCTTCAGGAGCATTTGAAATCCTGCTCCCCAGCATGTTGTCAGTTTAACTCAAACTCATAAAATCCTCTACCGGTCTGGATGGATGTTTCTTACGTGAATATATATATATATATTCACGTAATATATATATATATATATATATATATATATATATATATATATATTCCTCCCAATAACTGAAATCTGTAGTACTTACTATCCCCATTTCACAGATGGAAAAACTTAAGTTCTAAAATGGTACAGTTCAGGCGGTCTTTGAGGAAGTGAAATTCAAAAATTGCAGCCTGGCGTGCTACCTCTCACGTTCAAGATTCCAGTCATAATTCACTTTGCTGCACGCCTAAAATAAATGGGTGCTGTCGTTGTCGTTGCATTTTGGGAAATGTAGTCCAGAAGCTCAACGAACCCCCAACGTCCAAGAAGGGAGGAGCGGGGAAGTACCGGTAAACGACCTTAGCCTTGAAACAAAAGAGCCTGTTTTTGCGCCTGGCCACGTTTCAACTACGCATGCGCGAGTTTAGCAGCTTTGGTCGTTCCCCTTGCATGATGGGAAGCGCAGTTCTACGGCCACACCAGGTGACTGAACTCACGCTGTAAGTTCGGGTCGGTTCCAGACCTCGCGCCAGCCTCCGCATTCAACGATGACAGGCTTGCCGCGCTGCAGTAGCGCTTAGGCGTGCGCGACAGGCATTCGGATCAACTAAGAACAGAAACGGAAGCCCTAAAATTTCTCACCGGTTTACGCTCTTCCCAAGGCTCGGGCAGCTGGCGGATGGGCCTCTTGCGTCCCTCTTCTCCCCACTCTGAAAACTAAGGTAGGCCCTGGGGTTCGGAGGACGTGGGTCCAGGCCGAGACAGTTGAGGCACGACTGCACTGTCCCGCCGGCGAGGGAAGGAGGAAAGAGCTACGTAGTCTGGGCGGCTGACACCGGGGAGGCTGCAGACCCAAGGTTTGTGTGTAGGACGGGACCACTCTTGCTGGGTGGGCTGGAGGTGGGGTTGGTGGTGACGGGGGGTCCAGATATCAGCGGAGCCGCCTTGAGGGGGCTCTGAAGGCCCCAGGAGAGACATGGTCCTTGAGTTAATGTCAAGGAGGGAGCGAGGGTATGGCCAGAGGGCTGTTAATGGAGGGGGGGCCGCACGAGTGTACGGAGGTCTGTTAGGGCTTTATAGAGGAATCAATAGGGGCTAATGGTCGACATGATCATGGAGGCTTGTGGGGGTGTGTTCATTGATTAATGTGGGAGTGGTAGAGTGGGCAACTAAAAGGTAATGGGAGGTAGATGGGGGTGTGATCCCTGAGGATTGGTGGAGGTGTGATGTCAACAGGCTAATGAAGAGTGGTGGGCATAGTAATTGAAAGGATAATGGTGAGGTTATGGAGGGAATAATAGAGGCCAGTGGGGGTCATGATCAAGGAACTAATGGAAACAGTGATTAAAGAAGTGAGAACGAGGGGTGGAAGACATGTAGTCAAAGGCTTTTTGAATGGACGATAATGGCATGATCATCGAAGAATTAATGCTAACTGAGTAAAGGAAGGGTAATAGTAAGGTGTTGGGGTGCGATCATCAAGTGATTATTGGGAGTCAGAAAGGGGAGAATGGGAAACATCACTCAGGATTAACATGAGTGTGGTAATGAAGGAATTTCAGGGCATTAATGTGTGATCTATGAAGGATTAATTGGGGGGCTGAGTTAATGGGGGCTGATAAGTCATTGTAATTGAGAGCTTAATGGGAAGCTAGTAGGCCATGATCCTCCAGGCATTAATGGGGGTTGATAACGACATAGTAATAAAGGAATTACTGGGGGCCTAATCATTGCAGGGATTAATGGGGAACAGGGTAGAGAAAGAGAGATTAAGGGAGTGGGGAGTACCATGAGGTACTATTAGGATAATGAGGATGAAAGCAAGGGATTACTGGGGAGCTAAGAGGGATATATGAATCTAGGGGCAACGAGGACAGCTGGGGAAACTGAGATGTTAATGGGAATAAGATGTGAAGAGAAGGGTCGATAGAGTCACAGGGTTTAATATGCGGAGTGTGGGTGAGAGCAGTGGAGTTTGACAGGGTCAGTAATATTTCATCTGTGAGATAAGTGTTGGGTTTTGGGGATCTCTGGGGTGAGTGATAGGTTCTGTGGGGGTTCTGGTGAGGTGAGTGGTGGATCCTGAGAGTTCAGTGCTGGGATTCTTCAGGCTGTGTGAGTGGGGTCAGTGACTGGGCTCCAGTCTTCCCATCTGCTGAGTGAGCTGCCATGTGGGTCAGGTGAGCCCAGCTTGGTTTATGTGTTTTTGGCTGCCCTGCAGAGGTAGGTGGTAGCCCACTCACCCAGTTACTGATACAGGGTGGCATCAGCTTACTGTTGGCAGGTCCCTGGGCAAACAGTGTGTGAGATGGGACGGACGTCGAAGGACAAGCGGGACGTCTACTACCGCCTGGCCAAGGAGAATGGCTGGCGTGCCCGCAGTGCCTTCAAGCTGCTACAACTCAATGAGGAATTCCAACTCTTCCAAGGTCCCTACCTGGCTGGCGAGTCACTGGGGGATGGGGCAGACACCGGGAATAGACAAGTGAGCTAGGTCTGCAAAGCAGCCTGTAGTGGGTGGGCTGACTTGGGTGGTCTGTGGGGCAGGGGCCAGGCCAGGTGTGCAGATACTCAAGAAGAGTTGGACCCCTGGGCAGCAGATAGATGTGGGTGTTCCCCATGGGGAGAGGGATGAATTTTGCAGGGTTCCCAGGTCGGAGAGGTGAGTGCAACTGACACTACACCTTCCTGTGTGTGCTCAGGCGTGACACGGGCAGTCGACCTGTGTGCAGCCCCGGGCAGTTGGAGCCAAGTGCTGAGCCAGAAGATTGGGTGAGTATGGAGTCCCAGATGGGGGCGCCCGGGAGGGCAGACTAGGTGGAGGGTAGGCCAGGAGGGAAAACTGGGCTGACATGGGCCGTGTTGTCCACAGGAGCCAGGGGTCTGGCCATGTGGTGGCTGTGGACCTTCAGGCTATGGCTCCACTACCAGGTGTGTTACAGATCCAGGGGGACATCACCCAGGTAAGAGCATGGTTGGGGATGTTGAGGTGTTTCCCGGGCAAAGATCCCCCAACCCGGGGGCTACAGAAAGTGTAAAAGACAGAGAAACAGACTGAGAAAGACAGAAATAGAGTAACTGAGAGAACCCAAGAGTATAACAGAGAAACAGAGCCAGCAGGTTGTCATCCCAGAGAGACGGCAATAAATTATGGGACTGGGTCCCCAGAGATGGAGTGTGGCTTAGGCAAATCCTGAGCATTTGAGTGACCCAGGGCCTGCAGCAGGGCCATGGGCAGGTGGGGTTAGAAGGCCACAGCATGGGAGAATCTTGGGGCCACTCATCCATCCTCTCTTCCGTAGCTGTCCACTGCCAAGGAGATCATCCGGCACTTTGAGGGCTGCCCCGCGGATCTAGTGGTGTGCGACGGGGCTCCCGATGGTAAACACGGGTTGGGAGGCCAGGTGGGGGACTTTTCTGTATCTCCCGCTTTGTTGGCAGCATCTGTCACCACTTCAGCTACCTACCTCTCCTCCTCTGTCAGCTGTTTCCCACATCTGACAACTTCTCCCCACCATGCTGCCTGCTCTCTGCCTGTCTTCTCCCTCCTCACTCTCTACCACTTTGGTTTTGTCTGTTGTCCACGTTCCCTCTTCTCATATCTCATCTGTATTGTTTCTGCAGCTCTGCAGGCCCTCTTACTGCCCATTCATTTTTGTCAGTCAGTCAGTCAGTCAATCATCTATCCATTCAACACATGTTTATTGAGCACCTATCATCCATCCATTCAATACATGTTTACTGAGCAGCTATCATGTGTCAGGCACTGTTCTACACGTTGGGAAAACATTTGTGAAAATTCCACTAATCTCTGACCTCATAGAGCTGGTGTTCTAGTGGGAGCAGATGGAAAAGAAGCATGATTGAACTCTGTAGCATATCAAAAGATGATAGGTACCATGAGGAAATCAATAAAAAGGGGAGGGAGGTGGGGAGTACCTGTTGGAATGTTAAATAAAGTGGACGGGGAAGACCTCATGGATGTTAGTGCAAAGACCCAAAGTGGGACAGTGAGCCAGAGGAATGCCTGGAGGAAGAACCCCGGCAAAGGGACAAGCTTGTGCAAAGGCCCCGAGGTAGGAGGGTGCTTGGCATGTGCGGAAACAAGTGTGGAGATCATTGTTGTAAGATCAGAATGAGGGGGAGAGTGACAGGAGGCAAGGTCAGGGAGGTCACAGGGGACAGATCCTCGTGTGGATCCTTACAGACCGCAGCGAGCACTTTGGTTTTTTCACTGAAGTGAGAACTCGGAGAAAACCATGACAGAGTTATGGACAGCAGAGGGCCATCCCTGACTCTGGGTTGTGACAGGACCCCTCTGGCTGCTGTGAGCAGAGTGAGAGGCAAGGGTGGAAGCCAGGGGCCTGGGGAAGAGGAAGCCATTGCAGTAGTCCGGGTGAGTGATGACAGTAGTGATGAGTAGAGGCTCGATTCACAAGATCTTTTGAAAGTAGAGCCGTGAGGACTTGCTAATGGATTGAATGTGGGTGTGAGGAGAGAATGGAGCTTGTCAAAAGTAATGAAGGTTTAGGGCCTGAACAACTAGAAGAATCAGACGCGATGGGGAAGGTGGTAGGAAGAGCACGTTTGCGCAGGAAGGTCAGGAGTCTGGTGTTGGACAGGTCAAGTCTGAGATGTCAAGTTGGATCTGAGTGTGGAGTTAAGAATCTGGACTGGAGGTGGAAATGATGATAAAGAGACTTGCAGATAAGGTTGTTTTGAGCATTAAAATAAGCTCCTAGGAGTTAGGCATTCAGAATATGCGTCTAGTTGACAGATATTAAATTGCATGCAGAACCTTAGCAATAAGAGGCTGGGAAATGGTTTTAGCGTTCTAACCTCTCTGGGACAAGAAGATAGCTAGAACTGGATGACTCCCCTAATGCCGTTCCTCTTGCTGCAGTAACTGGCCTCCATGATGTTGATGAGTATATGCAGGCCCAGCTCCTTCTAGCCGTGAGTAACCCTGGCTGCCCCTGCCTCAATATATTGCCCTCCTGGCTATCTCCACCTCAGCCTTAGTTATCTGTCCTGCCCGCAGGCTTTGAACATTGCTACACATGTCTTGAAGCCAGGGGGCTGCTTTGTAGCCAAGGTAAGCCTTGGGAAACCTGGTGGGGGACAGAGACGGGTCCCTGAGGGTCACACTCATATCTCTATCTGTGCCTCCCCACCCTGCAGATCTTCCGAGGTCGGGATGTGACGCTGATCTACAGCCAGCTGCGTGTCTTCTTCTCCAGTGTGCTCTGTGCCAAGCCTAGGAGCAGCCGGAACTCCAGCATCGGTCAGTGGGGAGTAGAGGTCAGGCAGGCAGTGCGAATCTCAGGGACCTGTCTGGACCCTGTGCAGAGGTGACAGTCTGCGCTCACTCCACCTTTCACCCGCAGAGGCCTTTGCTGTCTGTCAGGGTTATGACCCCCCTGAGGGCTTCCTTCCGGACCTGACCAAACCCCTACTGGACCATTCATACGGTGAGAGCCAGAGCCCTGGACCCTGTCCCTGGGGAGACTCTGCCCCTTTGTGGGATTTATGTCTCAGGAGGGCTCTCAACCCCACCCCCTGGTAGAGACTCTTCCTTATGGGAATTCTGCCCCTAAAGGTTCCTTGGCCCCACCCTCCAGTGGAAATTCACCCTGCCCTGCCCCATATGAATATTGTATCCCAGGAGGATCTTCAGCCCAGTCCCCTAGTGGTAACTACACTTGGACCTGGTGAAATTCTGTCCCAGCAGAGACACCCGCCTAAGGAGATTATAACCTGGGAAGATTCAGTCCCACCCCCAGGTGAAAACCTTATTATGTGGGAATTTTGCCCCATGAGATTCTTTCACCCGGCTCTTAGTGGGAAAAGGTACAGTGCCTGCTCATGTAGCAAGCATGATGGAGTGAGACAAGATAGAAAGGCAGGTAGACGTAAAAGCGCTGTGTGATGCCCTGGCCAGGTGGCTCAGTCAGTTGGAGTGTCATCCCGTACACCAAAAGGTTGTGGGTTCAACCCCCGGTCAGGGCACATACCTAGGTTGTGGGTTCAATCCCTGGTCTGGTCGTATACAGAAGGCAACTCATCAACATCTCTCTCTCTTTCTCTTTCTCTAAAATTAATAAACATATCCTCAGGTGAGGATTTTTTTAAATAATTTTTTTAAAGTGTAGTGCGAAAAAAGTGGGGATGGGCAATGTTTTAGAAGAAGGTAATTTGAACCAAATGAAGAATTTCCAGTGCAGGAGTGTGAGAGCAGCTGGTGAATATGTGGGGAGACCTTGGTATCCAAGCTTCAGCCTGAGTTATGCCTGGTCCCAGGCATCCCAGCCCTGTCCTGTCTTATTTCTCCCTGCTTGTCAGATCCAGATTTCAACCAATTAGATGGTCCAACCCGCATCATTGTGCCATTTGTGACCTGTGGGGACCTGAGCTCCTATGATTCAGACCGCAGTTACCCACTGGACGTGAGTGCCCAGCTGACAGTAGGCAGATTGGGAGGGCTACCCTGGGTTCAGGTCCTCACCACCTTCCTACCATGTGTCCCTGCAGCTGGAGGACGGCTCAGAGTACAAATACACCCCGCCCACGCAGCCCCCCATCTCACCACCATACCAGGAGGCCTGCACATTGAAGAAGAAGGGGCGGCTGGCCAAGGAGATCCGCCCCCAGGAGTGCCCCATCAGCACAATGGACACATTGCCCCCGCCCCTGGCTGCTTCACAGTGCCACACGCTGCTGGCCTCTGAGGTCTGGAAACATGCAGCCCAGGGCCTGCAGTGCCCTTCCTGCATGCCCACACTGACCCCTCCCAGTACTCCTCTTTCTGCCCCCAAATCACATGGTTTCTGGGGTCAAAATTCTCTCCCCTGCCTCCCAATAGCTATAAAAATCAATGGGTAAAACCAAGTATAATGAATGGAAAAGCTTAGCCAAGTATCTGAGTCCCTTTTCTTTTTCTTGAGTAGGTAGAAGACAGTGAAATGAATTGTTCACCTTAACACATTAAGGTAAATCTGCCTTTTTTTATCAAAAAGTTTGAGTAAGGGACACCTTTAAGAAAAAGATCAGTAAAATTTCACCTTTGACATTTTTACATCAACTGGTAAAATTTCAGTCAGCAAACCTTTACTAAGCACGTGACATTGTGTATCAGGAACTACTTTAAGCATTTTACGTATTACATTTTGAGGCATTTGATAAGCATTTATTAGATCCATACTGTGTGCTGGGCATTGTTCTAGGTTTAGAGGTGCAGGGCAGGGGGGGGAACACAATTATCACGGCCTTTGTAGAGCTTCTAGATTGGGGAAGAGGTTAATAAACAATAACACAGTCTGAATGCAGGAGTTCCCCGCCAACACACACATGTATATACTCACATTTATACCTTGCACTTCCTTATGTGTTTTTCTATATTATATATAATATGTAAAGTAATATTGGACATGAAAAAATTTAAATAAAGCAGGGTAAAGAGAATCAGAAATTCTGGGGGTGGCAGTGTTCACATTTTAAAAGGGTGGCCCTAGAAGGCCTCACTGAGGTAATGTTTGAGCAGACACTGGAAGGAGATGAGGGAGAGAATCCATGTATTTACCTAGAGGAGGGCATTCTAAGGACAAGAAATAGCAGATGCAAAGGCCCTGAGGTGGAACTGTGCCTGGTGTCTGAGGGAGCAGAGGCGGGGCCAGGTTACCTGTAGCAGAGTGGGCTGTCTGGCAGTGCTGGAGGGCTTCTCATCCTCAGGACCACATGTTAGAGGATATCCCTTTCTGACAAGGCTTATAAATGAGTACTAGAATGTTCCTAGCTGGCACTATTTATAGTACCCCCCCCCAACAAGAAGCAGCCCAAAGATCTGTCAACTGTAGAATGGATCATTAAATTGTGATATATTCATGGTGGGGAATTATCAGCGATGAGAATGAACATCCTACAATTATATGAAATAATACCCTATTTTACTTATTAAATGGAACACATGTATATGTTTTATGCATTTTTTTCTGTATGTCACTTTACAAAAAAAGTAGGGAAAAAATTTCACAAAAATATTAGTAGCCAAGTGAACAGTGATTAAGGAGAAAAAAGTGGGAAAATACATTTTTGTTTAAAACTTTTTCTTTGACCTTTTCATAGGTGGCAGTTTAGGACAACTCGGAAGCTGTTTGCTGTCAGGAGAGCTGGAACTTGGATTGATGAACCTGTTTTTCAAATGTGATCTCATTGATGGGTCCTGCACACAAGCTCCAAGAAGGAACCTGCAACGATCACCATGAATAAAACCACGAAAGAAACATTGAAGAATGTTCATTTCCACTGAAGGAGGGGTTCTTGAGTGAGATCTTGCCTCTTCTCTAAATCTTTCAAGTGCTGTCCTATGTGCAGAATTGACCCCAAAATCTGGGGTTCTTAACCTGGACAGAAGTCAGGGGTATCCATGAACTCAATGGAAGAAAAGATTATATCTTTATTTTCACTAATGTAACTGAAATTTAGCTTTATTCCCAAATACAAATTTTAGCAGTAAATTGTGATGGTAAAACCAGTGCCTGTGACTTTTCTGCCAGTACAAATCCATTCATTTTTATGGTATGGTTGTTGCAGGCACCTTGAAATATTGTTCACATTTGTCAATACTTGAAATCATGGAAGATCTTATAATTTGATCTATTAATAAAAAAATTCCTATATTACTGCATCCCAATGTTTCATTTTACTATAGATGGTCATGTTTTTCCAGTTTCATTGAGATATAATTTATATAATATATGAGTTTAAAGTACACAACATATTGATTTGATATGTGTGTATATTGTGAAATGATCACCACAGTAAGTTTAGTTAACATCCATCAGCTCACACAGTTACAAATTTTTTCCTCTGATGGGAATTTTTACAATCTACTCTCTTGGCAACTTTCAAATACATAATACAGTAGTATTAACTGTAGTCACCATGCTATATATTACATCCCCATGACTTATAACTGGAAGTTTGTCCCTTTTAACTATTCACCCATTTCCCCCATCCCACCCCCGACCTGTGGCAGCCACCAATCTGGTGTCTGTTTCTCTGAGTTCATTTTCTTCAGATTCCACATATAAGTGAAAACATAGGTATTTATCTTTCTCTGTCTGACTTATCTCCCTAACCCTAACCCTCATGGTCCATCCATATTGTCAAAAGTGGCAGGATTTCATTTTTTATGGCTCTACATTCTAGCAATCTATTCTTAGGAGTAGAATTGGCACACATGCAGCTTTAACATTTCACTGTATGCCACATCTTCTGTATCTATCCGTTGACAGACACTTAGGTTGTTTCCATGTCTTGTCTGCTTTGAGTGATGTTGCAGTGAACATAGGGGTGCAGATTTCTCTTTGAGATAGCGATTTCACCTCCTTTGGATAAATACCCAGAAGTGGAACCGCTGGATCATGTGGTAGTTCTATATAACTCTTTGAGGAACCTCTGTACTGTATAATTGATTTTGTAGTAATCCTGTGAATTTGTGCTTTTGCGTGTGCGTGTTTTTTTAAATATTCTGTTAAGAGGTCCACAGGTTTAACCAAATGCCAAAGGGTTCCACAGAACAATTTTTTATGTTAAAAGCTCTTAAAGAAATGTCAGGAAATCTGTCTTGACTGCAGTCCTGAATTTCTACAGTTCAGCAAACGGGAGCTGATAAACTCAGCAACTGCCCTGGCAGAACTGGTTTCTGCAGCTCACTCCCATATCTTTAGAAACTCAACATTCTTTGTCCACATCCCAGCGCAGTGTCCTCAGGACTCCCTCCACCCTAGTCTGTGTCCCTAGGTGTTTCTGCATCTGAGTGTGTGACCCTGGGAGTGTCCATACCGAGTCTCTGTAACCCTGGGGTTTGGAGGGGCACAGCAAGCATATTAACCCAGTATTCTTCCCACCCAAGTCATTGTGACTACAGGAATGTAAGACGAAAGTGTTCACACAAAAGGCTCTGTGACCATGGGGGGAGTATCCACACCTAATACCATGCAAATTCGGCAGTCAGCACTACAGTCTGTGAGGCCCCAGTAGTGTGTACACTCCAGTCTCTGTCACCACAGGCGTGTTCTCATCTACATTTCCAGTGTACTCACCTTAGGCTGTGTGTCTCTAGTTGTTCCGTCCCCATCTATACACGTCTCACATCTATACACATACAAGTCACTGCCACGAGCAACATCTAATCCCCAGTCTGTTGGACCCAGTGGTGTCTACACCCCTGAGTGTGTGGCCCAGGAGGGACCACCTGGCCCAGGCCATCTCTGGCCTCAGGAGTGCCCCTGTCCGTCTGGCTCTTATGGTAGATGCCCTAGTCTTGTGACTCCAGGAGTGTCCACACCTCTCTGCATGACTCCAGAACTTTCCACACCAAAGTCAGTTTGTCCAAAAGATGCATATACCTCAGACCAAGAATCCTCAGTGAAATACTTACTTTTTAGTCTGAGTGACTCCTGGAGTGTTTCTACCCCAGACTGTGACGACAGAAATGTTCATCCAGGCTTTCCATAACCCAGTCTGTGTCACCCCAAAAGTGTCCATGCCTCAGTCAATTTGACCACAGGTTTGTCAATTCTTTATATAACAACAATGGGTGTCCATCCCCCAGTCTTTGTGACCCAAGGGGTTACCACACCCCAGTCATTATCACCTCAGGGGTGTCTACAACATCGTCTGTGTCACCACAGGAGCTGTGATGTCTGTGTGACACCTGAAGTATTCAAAATACAGTCTGGTGACCCCATAAGTATCCATATCCCAAAGTTTGTTGATCATACAGTTGTGAAAACTCTGGTCTATTTGACCCCAGGGATTCCTACTGCCAAATATGTCAGTGTGTCTTGGTATCCACATCCCAGTCTGGGTGACCTCACCAATGGCCATATGTCAACCTTTGTCCCCACAGGAGTGCCCAACCCCTCTGTGTGACCCCAAGAGTCTCAGACCCCAATGCATGTCCTCAGGGGAGCACATCCACTTTCTGTGTTATTGCAGAATTGTTCACACCCCAGTGTGTCACTGTGGGCTTTCCACCTCCCGGTCAGTGTCCCCTAAGAGTGGGCATTCCTCAGACCATGCCAGGTGTGACCACACCCCAGTCTATGTAACCCCAGGAGGGCCCACGGCTAACTTTTGTTTCCAGAAGTGTCCACACAATAGTGTGTCTGCATAACTCCAGGATAATCAACTTTCTGTGTGATCACAAGAGGGGCCACCACTCAGTCTGCGTGTCCTCTGAGCAGTACAGCTTGGCTGTGTAACTTCCGGGGTTTTTACACCACAGGCTGTGTGATCAAAGAAGTCTCCGGGCCCAAGCTCTGTGACAACCAGTGTGTCACTCTCCAGTCCATAATTCCAGAATTGTCTACCTGGTGTGGAACCAAGGAGTGGCCACACGAGTCTCAGAGGCCCCACACTCATTCACTACATCATCTGTGTGGCCACAGGAAAGTAGCCAAACTCCATTCTGTATGATGCCAGTAGTGTCCACATCCCAAACAATGTGTCTACACTGAAGTACATGGGACCAAAAATGTGTCCTTCCACATATCCCTATGGTCCCAGATTGGCCCAGCAAGTTTTACCCTGGCTGTGTCCACATCCCAAAGTTTGGCCACAGAAACATCCACAGCCCAGCCCATGAGACCCCAGGAGTGTCTGCCCCATGTTTGGTGAGAGTTCAGAAGTGGCAACAACTTGGTGTGTGTGATTGCAGGAGTTTCCCCACCATAGTCTCAGTGGCACCACGAGTATGTGCATCTCCAACTGTGTGATCACAGAGGTGTCCACACTTCAGTCTGGGTGACCCTGCAGGTGTCCACTGCTCAGCCTGTGATGTTCCAAGAGTGGTTTTACCCCAGCCCAGCCACCTCAAGAGTGTCCACTCCATGAGCTCAGTTGGTTAGAGCATCATCCTGATATGCCAAGGTTGAGGGTTTGATCCCCAGTCAGGGCACATATAAGAATCAACCAAATGAAAGCATACATAAGTGAAATCCAGGTCTGTCTGTCTGTCTGTCTGTCTGTCTCTTTCTCTCTCTTCCTCTCTCTAAAATCAATAAATAAAAAATACATTTAAAACAACAAAGAAAGAAAATTATAGGTTGATATCACTGATGAACACAGATGCTAAAATCCTCAACAAAATATTAGCAAACCGAATACAGCAATACATCAACAAGTTCATATACCATGATCAAGTGGGATTTGTTCCAGGAATGCAAGGATAGTACAATATTTACAAATCAATAAATGTGATTCACCACATAAACCAAGTGCAGGATAAAAACCACATGATCATATTGGTAAATGCAGAAAAAGCTTTTGATAAAATCTAGGAATAGAGGGAACATACCTAAATATAATAAAGGCCATATATGACAAACCCACTACCAGTATCATACTCAATGGGCAAAAATTACAAGAGCTCCCTTTAAGAATGGGAACAAGATAGAGATGTCCACTTTCACTTCTCTTATTCAACACAGTATTGGAAGTCTTACCCATAGCAATCAGACAAGAATATGAAATAAAAGACATCCAAATTGAGAAGGAAGAAGAAAACTATTTTTATTTGCAGATGACATGATACTGTACATAGAGAACCCCCAAAGATTCCACCAAGAAACTACTAGAACCGATCAATGAATTCAGCAAAGTAGCAGGATACAAAATTAATATTGAGAAATCAGTTGCATTCTTATATGCCAATAACAAACTAACAGAAAAGGAAATTAAGAAAATAATCCCATTCATAATTGCTTCAAAAAGAATAAAATACCTAGGAATAAACCTAACCAAGGATGTAAAAGACCGGTAATCGGAAAATTATAAGACACTAAGGAAAGAAATTGAAGAGGATACAAGTAAATGGAAGCACATATCATGTTCATGGATAGGATGAATTAACATCATTAAAATGTCCATACTACCCAAAGCAACCTGTAGATTCAACAAAATTCCTATCAAGATTCTAATGATGTATTTCACAGAACTAGAACAAATATTTCAAAAATGTATGAAACCACAAAAGGTCCCACATAGCAACATTGATCCTGAAAAAGAAGAACAAAGTTGGAGGAATCATGCTACCTAATATCAAACTATACTACAAGGCCATAATAATCAAAACAGCCTGGTACTGGCATAAAAACCAACACACAGATAAATGCAATAGAATAGAGAGTGCAGAAATAAACCCACATCTTCCTGGCTGGTGTGGCTCAGTGGACTGAGTGCTGGCCTGCGAACCAAAGGATCACCGGTTTGATTCCCAGTCAGGGCACATGCTTGGGTTGCAGGCCAGCTCCCCCGTGGGGGGCATGTGAGCGGCAACCACACATTGATATTTCTCTCCCTCTTTCTCCTTCCCTTTCCCTCTCTCTAAACATAAATAAATAAAATCTTTAAAAATTAAATCCACACTTTTGTAGTAAATATTTGACAGAAGAAGCAAGCACATACAATGGGGTAAAGAGAGTTTATTTAATAAATGCTGATGGGAAAATTGGATAGATAAATGCAGAAAGATGAAACTAGACCACCTTCTTACACCACACACAAGAATAAATTCAAAAATGGATGAAAGACTTAAATGTTAGACCCGAAACCATAAGAATCCTAGAAGAAAACATAGG